CTTTTTTTCCAATCCGAAAAATTTTTTCCCCTTTTCCTTTTTCGGTTTGGTCTTTTTTCTTTCAAACCGAATATTTTTTTTTCCGAATACATTCTTCCACCATTTGGGTTTGGACCGGTGATCAGGTCAATGTTGCGGCGACACGGCAATTGCCTTTTTTCCCGATTCTTATTTTTAATAATAGTATTATTTTTTGTATCAAGCTCAATAATAAATAGATTTACATAATTATTTATTTTTTGTAACAACGTTATAATTTAATTTTTCTGGGAATTTTTTTTTTTCATATTAATTAGTAAGATATTTTTTTTCTAGAGGATAAAAAAAAAAGATTTTTTTCGTAACAATGTAACAACAAACTACATTGTTTTTGTAATGAATTTGTAAATTTCACAATACTGCAACATTTTTTTCGTGTGATAAATAAATTTTGCATTTAATAATAATATTTTATATATTGTATAACAATTTCATTGTTAATTATATAATCATGTAAATTGTGTAATTTATTACATTTATTTCCTACTAATGGCATCATAATAATAGTAAAAAACTAGACCCATTCACACTGCAATAAAAGTAAATTATTGTTATTTTCTTACTTGATGGGCAAGTATCATCCCCCGGCGCAACGCGATGGGTTACGACTAGTAATTTATTAATTTATTTAGTAAAAAAAATTATGTAATTCGATTCAGAATGAGTAAATAAATATTGATTGAATTATAAATAATCCCGATTTTCTCTTGATTCGTTCATTTAAATAAATTTGTAATACAAATTCCCAAAACAGTATGCAAATTCTGGAAGCCCAAAGTGTTTTAAAAAGAAAACTAAAGGTTTTTTTACTGGTTTTTTCAGTTTTCAGAATAGTATTATATTTCAAAGTGTTAACATGCAAATTGCCCATAGTGTTAAAATGTCTGAAACCCATCAAAAACAAGTCACTTGCATGAAGAACTTTGAAAGAAAATAGTGCATTTAATCTTAAAACGTCAACTAATACAAATTCACCTCAAAACCTGAAGTGACAAATAATAATACTGTTGAAAGTCCAGATCTTGAAAGCTTTGCTAAAAAATTAGGTCTCAATATTTCAAATATAATTTGAGGAAATTTTATGGTATATATAACAAATCTGTTCCAAGCTTGATCACACTTTTACTAACGTATCACTTTGCTGGTGTAGCCGTAGGTATCTGAGAATCACATGATTGGATAAACATTTAATTGAAGAAAGAATGTTTGATCGAGATAATTAAAAATGCAATCATTTATAGCTACACAGTAGTTTATTTTATTTATATATAGTTATTTATATTTAGATCAGTTTATTTATAGTTTAGTTATAAATGGTTTATTAGTCATAATGAGTTATAATAATTCATGATTAGGAAGATGGAGTAAGATGGAAAGATTATATTAGTAACAATGATTATTAATCAGTAAATTACATCATAGATTAGATTTATAATTACAAATTATTAATAATCATTAGTAAAATGAATATCTTAGAAGTTTTTAGAATCTTTTAGAACTTTTAGCCATTATTAATTATAAATTACAGAATATTTTAGAATAGTTTAGTTAGTGAAATGTCAAAATGTATAAAAAGGATGTGGTTTGAATTTAGCTCCAGCAGCCTATGGGCTCAGATTTATTTAATTGTTAATGAAGAGTATCATTGTAGTTTCACCATGAAAAACGATTAATAATTGAAGGGGGATTATCCAAATTTGAAATTATTGTTAAAAGATATTAAAAGACTAAACCAAGTAAAATTGTTAAATTGTTAAATTGTTTACTGACAGGTGGCAGACATCGTGACACCAGCCCTGACTTCATTTAGCCATCTACAGTATAATGACTGAATACGATTGCCATGATATTTTTTAATTAATTCCTCAGATATTTTATCCTTATACTTCCAATTCCAAACATCAGTCAAGAATTGTAATGTATATGAAGTCATTAGAGATAGATGATATGGGTGACTTGGATAAAAATTACTCCTTCTGAATGGGACCCAGTCAGAGAAGAGATTGCAACAAATAGAGACAAGTCGCATGTATTTATTGTTCATGGAAAGATTTTAAAGTATTATGAAAAAGATGTATCATGGGAAGAATATGAAAACTTGAGAAGAGATATCCAGGAAAATACTTTGCAAACGACTTGGAGGTTCTTATGATTGGGAAAGAGCTGTTTTTACAATGGATGATGTTAGCATAAAATTTTCAATTTGACGCGTTCTACTGGTATTATTGGTATTAAATATTAATATACCTATCACTGAAAAGACTGTTCTATTGCACTAATAATGATACAATTAGGAAGGAATGGGTGTACTACGATATCAAATGTAACTAGCATAATGACCATTTCAAATATTTATTTTTATTTTGGAGGAGTTAATTTATTTTTAGAGTTCAAAAAAAGGAGTTAACTGTTAGTTTTGACAGTTCGTAGTAGGAAGAATAATATAACATGAGTTAAATACATTTCTGATGTGTACAAATGGAGGCATGTAAATTTTTTCTTTGTATTAGTTCTGCATCTATTACAAATAAATTGATAACGTATTACCATTATAAAAAATAAAATAAAATAAATCAAATTTGGCTATAATTCAATTATTGTGTTTTCAGTTTTAAGTATAAGAAATTATACAGGTACCAAATAGTATTTCATTATACAGAATTTGTATTAAAACAGATTCTGAATTTTCAATTTTTATAGGGCAATTATAATATTGCTAAGCTAATAATAATACTAGCTAAAGTATGGATTTGGAGGTTAAGCTCAAATTTGCTAAACAAATCTGAAAATGAAAATATAAAATAAACCTTATTTAACAATTAACATATTCTTTATATATTTAATAATGTTTATCTCTTATTTTTTATTGTAAAACTGCAAAAATACAAAAATACATAAATAATTAAACAAATAAAGAATAAACAATAGAATTGTTGATTTTTAAATTTCAACTATACATTCCAGCAATTCAGAATATTCTTGAACAAAGCTCTCACTAATATTATTAGACTTTTCTATTTCTTTAGTAATGTTGCGACTTATATAACATGCTTGAGAATGAGATTGTACTACTCGTTCTTGTACTACAGCTTTGTTTGCTTTTACAAATTCAAACATATCATTTTTTAATTGATTATCAATATCAGATACATTATAATAACAATTTTCATCCGTGTTTAATCTGTAATATTCATTAATACATCTAATCCATTCAGATATAATATTTTCAAGCATTATTATAGTTGGTCTATTAGAAGGATTTGAATCCCAACATTTTTTCATTAAATCTGTATAACATTTTGGAATATTTTCAATAATTTCAGGACGTTCACCCTTACAAACACTCAAGATAAGGTGATGATCATGTGCTCTATCACTAAATGGAGGATTACCTGATATAAATTCCCACATTATCATTGAAAAGCTATAAATATCACTTTCTGGAGTATAGGGTTTATTTCTTAATATTTCAGGCGCCATATAAGGTAAAACTCCATAAGTTTCATTAATGCTGCTATTATCAGAATCTTGTAAATCACTTATAGGTTTACATAATCCTAAATCAATAATAAATGACTCATTGTAATTATCTGACATTAAAATATTTCCATCATGAAAATCACCATGAGTTAAATTTGATTCATGAATTACTTTAAGTCCTAAAATAATTTTTTTCAATAATTGTAACTTGTCTTGCCACTTAAATACAATTATGTCAGATAAACATTTTCTCAAATTTCCTTTTTTTGCATAACTCATTACTATCATATAATTTAAATTATTTGGATCTTGGGTAAAACCAAAGAATTGAATAAATTTTGAAAATGATTTTTTCTGGCAATTATAATGATATTTCCACTATATAAATAATAAAAGTTATTAAATTTTGAAAAGAAAATAAAATTTTTTATTAAACATAAATAATATACCTCATCTAGAAATTTATTATTTAAATTTGATGAATTATTAAGTATTTTAAGAATGACTTCATGATCCGGCTGTCTATTCCATTGTTGTTTGTCATAATTCCAACTAAAAATAGGTCCATCTGACCAGATAGCTTTATGAATTTCACTAAATCCTCCTTTATCATAATAATTAATACTTAACAATTCATTATAAGGTATCCACTCTAAAATTTCATAACTATTTTTAGCATTCAGTTGTGCTTCTTGAATAAATTTATCAATAAATTCATTTTTGCTTGTCCACTTTGAAAAACCTTGTTGAAATCGTTTAATATTACATTGTTGGCACCACTGATAATCAATATATGGTTGTTTGCATTCATTACATTGTTGGTGCCATGGGTAATTAATAGATGGTTTTTTGCACTTACTACATATCTCATCTTCATCTTTAGCGCTTACTTTATTATTTAATGTTAGTACTTTTTGTTTCCAATAAAAGGCTGCTTCTAAATTTTTTTCTGTTCCTTCTCCATTTTCATAACATATGGCTAAATTATACATTGCCATAACAAGATCTTTTTCTGCTGCTTTCTGATACCAAAAAAAGGCTTTTTCTAAATTCTTTTCTGTTCCTTCTCCATTTTCATAATATTTTTCTAAATTATTCATTGTTTTTTTTTTACTATTTTCTGTTGCTTTTTGATACCAATAAAAGGCTTTTTCTAAATTCTTTTCTGTTCCTTCTCCATATTCATAGCATAAGGCTAAATAAAAAATTGCACTTCCTTCAGAATCATTTTCTACTGCTTTTTGATACCAATGAAAAGCTTTTTCTAGATTTTTTTCTGTTACTTTTCCATTTTTATAACATGCAGCTAAATTATACATTGCTTCTTTAACACCATTTTCTGCTGCTTTCTGGTACAAATAAAAGGCTTTTACTAAATTCTTTTCTGTTCCTTTACCATCATTATAACAGTTGGCTAAATTATTTATTGCCATAACATGATCTTTTTCTGCTGCTTTATGATACCAATAAAAGGCTTTTTCCAAATTCTTTTCTGTTCCTTTTCCATCATTATAACATATAGCTAAATTATACATTGCTTTAACATGGTCTTTTTCTGCTGCTTTTTGATGCCAATAAAAGGCTTTTTCCAAATTCTTTTCTGTTCCTATTCCATCATCATAACATACGGCTAAATTATACATTGCTTTAACATGGTCTTTTTCTGCTGCTTTTTGATGCCAATAAAAGGCTTTTTCTAAGCTCTTTTCTGTTCCTATTCCAATATAATAAAAACTTGCCAAATTATACATTGCTTCTTCATCCCCATTTTCTGCTACTTTTTGATACCAACACAATGCTTTTTCTAAATTTTTTTCTGTTCCTTTTCCATTAATATAACAGTTGACTAAATTATTCATTGCTTTCTCATTACCATTTTCAGCTGCTTCTTGATACCAATGAAAGGCTTTTCCTAAATTCTTTTCTGTTCCTTTTCCATTTTCATAACATAAGGCTAAATTATTCATTGCCATTTCATTACCATTTTCAGCTGCTTCTTGATACCAATGAAAGGCTTTTTCTAAATTCTTTTCTGTTCCTTCTCCATTAGTATAACAGTAGGCTAAATTATTCATTGCTTCTTTATTACCATTTTCTACTGCTTTCTGATACCAGTAAAAGGCTTTATCTAAATTCTTTTCTGTTCCTTCTCCATTATAATAAAATTTGGCTAAATTATACATTGCTTCTTCATTACCATTTTCAGCTGCTTTTTGGTAATAATGAAATGCTTTTTCTAAATTCTTTTCTGTTCCTTCTCCATTTTTATAGCAGTTAGCTAAATTAAGCATTGCTTCTTTATCACCATTTTTTGCTAATTTTTCTAAAGAAATAATACATTCTTTACACCATAATTTTTCAGCAAAAGGTTTATTGCAATACGAACAATTTTTGGTGTTTATTGTATTAGTATCTTTGTCTGAAATGTTTGGTTTACTAAATTCAGTTGCCATATGTTATTTTAGAATTTTATTTTACTGGAAAAACAAATTTTATTTTTTTTAGGCGTATTTTTTTTGACAAAATTTATATTTATGAATGAGTTACTAAAAAAAGGAATCTATATAACTAAAAAAATACATGTGTAACTGTAACGTTTTGATCCGTATTCTTTATAGTTAAGACCCGCTTGATTTGCAAGTCATCTAATCCAATTCCGGTTAATGAAATTTTAATCGGAAATATGGTTTTTTTTAAACCGATTTTTAAAATTTTTTCCTTTTCTTTCGAACTGATCTGAATTTTTTCGGTTTCCTTTTTTTTAATTTTCATTTTTTTTTCTTGAACCGATCTTTACTTTCAGTTCTTTCTTTTCTTTTTTTTAAAAAATTTTCATTTTTTTTTTCCTTTTTCTTTTTCGGTTTTGTTTTTTTTCCAAACTGTATTTTTTTTTGTTTTTCCAAAACCGAAAAATTGTTATATTTTTTTTTTTAATTAATCCTATTGTTTTGGTCTTTTAAGACTGATTTTTTTTTGAATTTTTTTTTTCGGTGTTTTTTGCCCTTTTTTTTCAGAATTTTTTCAGTACTTTCGATTCTTTTTTTTTCAAAAATTTCTCTTTTTAAACCGATTTCTTTATCCTTTTTCTTTTCCCCAAATTTTTTTTTCAATGTTTTTTTTTTTTTTCTTTCGAATTTTTTTTCATTTTCGGTTTCTTTTTTTCAACCCGATTTTTCTCTTTAATTTTTTTTCGTTTTTTATTTTTTGTTTTCGGTTTTTTTCCGGTTGGCTTTTTTCCAATCCGAAAATTTTTTCCCCTTTTCCTTTTTCGGTTTGGCTTTTTTTTTTCGAACCGAATTTTTTTTTCCCGAATACATTCTTACACATTTAGGTTTGGATCAGTGATCGGATAGATCTGCGGCGCCGCGGCAATTGCCTTTTTTCCAGAAGATGTAATTTTTTTTAAATCTACAATGGAATTTTTTTAAAATAAATCATAAATTTCACAGTGCCACAAACATTTGTTTCGTGTGAAAAATAAAATTTGCATTCAATAATAATATTTCATATACTGCATAACACTTGCACACAATTCGTATAAGCATGAATTGTATAATTTATTACATTTATTTTCTACTAATACCATCATAATAATAGTAAAAAACTAGACCTATTCACACTGTATGGCAAATAAAATATAAGTGTGTTATTATTACTCTCTTACTTGATGGGCAAGTATCATCCCCGCCGCAACGCGACGGGTTACGCCTAGCATCTTAACTAAAATAGAAGTTACACCAAAAAAAATATATATTCGGATCATTTTTTTCCACTAGTGATAATGTAGAATAATGTGTCGATCACTTGAACAGTGACAGAAACCATATTAAAGGTTATTAATTTAGAACTTTTACTCATTCTTTATTGCATTCAACTGTATTTTTCCTTTATTTCATAATATTTATAATCGTTTTTTGGAATTTTTTTTTATTAGAGATAGAGAAATATCAAACAAAGACGCTTTACAACCAAAGTGAAATATTTTTAAAGTTTTAGTTTTTTTGATAAAAGTTAAGCGTCAGAACGGTGTTACTCTATACAAATTTTTATGAAGTTAGAAGACGTTTATGTATTGTAAAGAAGAAATTCTTTACCTTCGAAAGTGTCTGCGAGTGGCGCAGGATACAGAGAAGGTAATCGACGGTGATATTGATTTCTTATTTTTGTTAGGCATAAAAAAACCTTATTTTGTTCAGATTTAATTTTTAATATAAATTTTCTAACGTACCTGATTAATTTTTTTGTTTACCAGATAAAGATAACCTTTTGAGTTTTGACGTTCTTTAACATCCTTCAACGTTTTTTAACAATCTTTAACATTTAACATTTTTTAACGCCTTTTCTTTTTCTTCAGTTAAACTTTTAAAGGTAAGCTGTTTTCTTTTTTTTTTGCTATTGTTCCCTAATTACTCATTTCTTTTTTGTAGATTTTTTAACTTTGGTATTTCAATAAATGGTAAGTTTCAAGTTTTTCAGAATTTTAGAAGCCTAGTTTCTTTACAGTGACTATTAACTAGTTTTTTTTTTCATTTTTTCATTTGGGTTTCTTCTGTTTTGGTTGGGTTTTTCTTTGGACTTCTTCTCTGGATTTCTTCTTGGATTTCTTTGGGTTTCTTTCTCGGGTCTTTTCTTGGATTTTCTCTTGGGTTTCATTGGGTTTCTTTTTGAATTTTTTTTTTTGGTTTTTTTTCAGATTTCCTTTCGTGTTTCTTCTTTGAGTTTCTTTAATTTTTCTTTGGGCTTCTTTTGGGTTTCTTCTTGGGCTCCTTTTCTTTTAGTTGGGATTTTTTATTTTCTCTATACTTTGACTTTATGATTTCGTTTTTACTTTATGTTTGATTTTGGTTTTACTGCTCCAATTTTGGTTATTCATTTTAGAGGTTGGAACCGGTTAAGACGGCCCTCCAATAACCACAGGCAGCGGTTAAGTATCAATTGTCCGAATTGAGAGGACTACTCCACTCGACATGGCATACATCAGGAATTTTTTTCCGTTTAAAATCCACATGGAAATCCACATCAAATACTGTGGAAATCTAAATAGTTCTAGTATTTTCCGAATATCCTGTGACGAAACACGTGGTATTTTCGGTGTAGGATATTGGGAATGTGTGGAATTCCACGTATTTCTGAGCAAACCCACGTGGAATTACATGGACCGACCCACCTAAAAACTTCCTGATGTACGAGGCAACAAAATCTCTTTATTCTTACTGTTATCTGGCTAACGGAGTCTCATCCTATTAGATAATTTCAAGATTATACCGGAGAAATTCATCGAAGGTCGTAATGGGCAAGGAAACTTTGATTACGTTATAGAGCGTCGTTCAACTGGAAGAATTCTTGGCTTAATCTAAGTCAAGAGAGAAATATTTAATGAAAGGGTTCGCCCAGGTATCTAGTATACAAATGGAATCATCTCTGAATGGTCATAAGCGCAATGCCAATGAGATGGATGATGAACAAAATGTGGATAAGGTATTTGGGATCGTGACTGATGCAAAATAATGGTACTTCATGGAGTGCACTTCAGGTGGAGAGGGGAAGTTTTCGTTTAAGCTTTCTGAGCCTGTATTTATCGTATATAAAAGTAACAATCTGCATATTATGGTGGAAGAAGTCTTAAACCGTATCGTGCCTGAGACTTTTCATTATTTAAGTCAGCAACATGAAAAAACGGGAAACACATCGATACTTGGACTCGGATCATCATAAGTTCACACACTTTCAGAAAGGTCCACTTGTTGAATTGCTTCGAGGAGTCTCGATGAATACAGTAAACTTGAAGCTGATTTTTGACACGAATAGCTAAAGCAGTCTTGATCATTACAAGGGGAATATTTTCCGTTGTCATTAACATACTAAGTACCGCTCCATTGTTTTCAAGTGCTGGTGTTTTGTACATTTCACGTATACATTTTTTTGAGGTATAAGATATCGTTAAAATTTTTTACTCGTAAACATAAGTCCTTTAAATATTAATTAACATTATAAATCACTGCGGACTGATAATAAATTTAATTAATTAAAATTAAAGTCAATCGTATTTATTTAAAAAGGAAATAATAATATATATATATATAATAATGAAATAAACCTTCATAAATAATATTGATTACATTTATTCTACTTTATTCTACACACAATTCGACCCTTTTATTATACCTTCATTAATGTACCTTCTAATAATTAACATGTGATCTCTTGTAATATAACTTTCATGAGTGATTCCAAAATAAAGTAAATTAATATTTCGAATTCTACAACTTTCAAAAAATAATTCAAAAGAATCAGTTGAAAATTTCCAATCCCCACTTAATGATATATAAATTAAAGATTTTGGAGAAAATTCAGTTAAAATATTTAATAATTCATCACCAAAATTATAATTTTCATTCACAAGAATATTTAAACTATCAAATTCTATACGTGATAAATTTCTACAATTTAATAATAATGATTTTATATGAATAAAATCTTTAGGTTCAATATGAGTATATAATCTATTAATCTTTGGACAATTATTAGAAATTGCTTTAATTAATAATCCAGTATTTTCAGCATTTTTATTAATAGAATTAATAATAACTTGTAAAATATTTCCTTTTGTTTTTTCAATTAATATTGCTAACTCTTCAAACCAAGATAATCCATAAAAATCAATATATTCTAATTCTGAAAATTCTGATATCATTAAATAATGTTGAAATTCTTTAATATCACCTCTAATATTATCATTATCATAATTATAAATCGACAAATTCTTTAAATTAATAAGTGATGTTAAAAATGATGGTGAAATAATATTAAGTGAGTGTAAACAGAGATCATTTAATGTATTATACTTCCTTTTTATTGCATTGCTTAATTCTTTACAATATTCCTTCTTAATGTATTTAAAAAGTGATAATCTTTTTAAATTTTTCTGCGCGTCAATTAACGAAATTAAACCGGGAAGATTTTGAGAACAATTATAAATCATTAATCCATTCAAATCTCTACAAATTTGTATCATTTCATAAAGAGAGTTTGGAGATACAGAATCAATACTAATATATAAATTATTTAATTGAGAAAAACATTCTTTAGCACCTGGAAATAATGATAAAGGTTGAGAAGTTTTCCATTGTAATATTTTAATATTTTTACATTGACTTACAAATAATTTATAAATTTCTTGTTCTAAAAGATTACTTTTTGTTGAATAATCAAAATTATTTAAAATTTCATCTTTAAATATCATATCTTTAATATTATCAATAATTCCAGCTCTTGGAAATTCACAAAAACTAATATAATTAAATGATAAAGGTTTTAAAAAAATTGTTGGTGGTAATTTAATATTATTATCAAATAAAAATTGGTTTGAAGATGTTGATAAACAAGAAAGTATGATATTAAAAATCTTTTTTTCTGATTCTTTATGATTACAATACCAAGAATATTTTTTCCATAATATTGGTACTACTAAATTACACCATTCTTTACTAACTAAAAGACATGAATATAAACTTTTTTTATTTAATCGTGATTCTATTAAAATAAGGTTAAAACAATCTAAATTTAATTTTATCATTTTTATAAATTAAAAAGTGATTTAAAAAGTGATTTTTTTTTTTTTTAATGTGAGTAAAAAATTCTCGATATTTAAATATTTTAAATTTTCTTATGATCCCAAAAATAGACATTCCTATAATTAATAAGTAAAGGGCCAACTTTAAATCGTTTATGGGTTAAGTTACACTACACCAGAATTTATGATTTGCCGTATTGCCGAATTATAATCGGCTAGCCTTAGTAGCCTATATTTTGCTGATCACGTAAATAATTAACAAATATTAGCCTAAATTTTCAAACACATTACACATTTACACATGCACGAAAGTCATATGATTATAATATAAGATTTCTTTTTTTAAAAAATTAGTAACGCGTTTATTAATTATGCATATATTACAAAAACTACATACTGTAATTATACTGTACAAACACCTAGAAAAATAATATAACAAAATATATTACCCTCTATAGCTAACCGATATATTCTAAAAACTGATAAATTTAAAAATCTATCTTTTGTGCAATATAATATAAGATTTCTATTTTAAAAAAAACTTATTTGATTCCATCATTTAAGCATACTAAGAAATATCATTTGACAATCTTATTAAGATTTTGTTGAAAACTTTCATAAGAACAATTAATTCAAGTAGGGTTTAGAACAGATTTTTGATCTCCAGATTTTAAATACAATATGTGAAGAGTATTTGTTTACGCAAGAATGTGAGAAGCCTAAAAATTGTATCAATGTAAACATAAATAGATAAAGATGACTTTTTATTTTAAAATAAAAAAAATAAAAAAAACTCAATAATCACAACAAATTTATTTTTATTATAACAAACGAAATAAATTAAGAGGATTGATTAAATATGCCTTAAATAAACTGCTATACTTTTTAGTATGTAGTTTTCATACGATTTTATATGAATTTTTTTCCTTCGGAATAATAAAATTAAATCAAAATAAGCTCTGCTAATAAAAAAAACAATGCTGTTAAGTACAGAAAATAAAAATCATAACTGATGACAATGTAGTCACCACACATCAACTTAATCTAGTTAGTTCTTAAGAAAAGAATTATAAATGCCACTTTTATTGTTGTTTTTCCAACTTAGACAACACATGATATAAAAAGCTTTAATTCACCAATAAAATACATTCTGTATAATAAAGAAAATAAAGAATTAATAACTTTAATCTCAATTGTAATATTTTCTTAGGATTTACGTAACGTAAAGCCCGCAGTAGAGTATTTAAGATGCAATTCTCTATACTTCTACTATACTTCTACACATCCACCTGGTTTCACTACCGCAAAATTCCATTGTTCTTAGGGATTGGAATCGATTAATCGAAAATCGACAAAACATAGTAAAATCGATTCTCGAGAATCGATTCTCAGCAATTTTTTACATATAAGTTAACCTGACTTCAAAGTAATTTTTCATGCCGGCCAAGTGCTGATTATTTTTGCTGAAATTAGTAACTGATTCAAAGTCAGGTTGGTCGTCTATAAGAAAAATCTTGAAAAGATTCGATTTTCGATTCCAATCCCTAATTGTTCTAAAGTATAACGTGGTTTAACGATTTAATTAATGCGGGAAATAATTTTGCTTTATCAACTCCTGTAAAATTCCGAAAGTGAATATTTTTTATAATTTTAAGAAATGCTGCACAACTCCACCACGTACATTTATTTAACAAAGAATATTCAATTAAAGAAAAATTTGAAGATTATGTTAGTGTAAAAATTCTAGAGGTCACCTTATAAAAAATACAATTAATATTCAACCAATCTAAATCCTCATAATCCAACCCGTTTTGCAACTTATACCTAGGATCCTTATTACAACACATTATACATGGTACTCTCCTGTCAACCGTTAAATACTCCTGAAATGCCCCTAGCATTATCCAACCATTTTTTTTCCCCAAAATTTGCTTCCACGCATTCAAAAACCTAAACGGAACATCATCATCTCTTAGGATCAATTACCCCTTGCCAATATGTATGTCGTCCCAAAGACCTCGCCTACTCAGTCTTTCCTACCCTGGAACCGCCATACAACACCAACGATTTATAACCAAGGCGACCAGCGCCTGCATTAAATGATGTGGAGGTAAAATCCAGTTTCTTCTCTCGAAATCCGGCACATACTCCTGAAAATCGCACTGCGGTAACGTCCAGCGTATATATTTTTTATAATTATTGAGATTGGCCAGCAACCCTCTATCTAAATTCTCTAAGGCCTGCTCGCTCGTTCTACTACGCTTTACTGCTTCCTCTATCTCATCTATTTCCTCTATCTCAACTACCTCCTCTATCTCATCAGCCTCGAACCCGCAAGCTTTTCTCTTATTACGTCCAGCATTATCGATAGAACCAGGGCCAATGTTCAATGAGAAGTCCAACTTTCTCGGCTTGCTTGATATTTTCTCTGTACTACTTTCTCACGTATTCTTTCACCGCGTTAAAATTCCTCACATTCGTATCAATATTCGGATGCCCTATGAAAAAAGCCTGTGTGATTTTTGTTGAAAAAACATCCAATTAAATTCACTATGATTTCTGTATATTTGACCATACAATAATTGTGCTAAAAATTGCAATAAATCACACAATAGTTGTATGGCAATCATACAATAATCATCCAATTTATGACCTGATTTTATATAATTATTGTCTAATTTTTGAG